CTTAAGACGGTACAAACCTTTAAGGCTTTTTACCGCAACTGGGAGTTCATTCCCATCAGTCCTTAGATATACTCCTTTATTTACAATTCCAAACTCTCCTCCACCAAGTTTCTCATTTGATATTGTCAGCCTGTCTCGAGAAATTTCCCAGTTTCTGTCAACTGCCATATCCTGTAAGTAAGTCTCGTTATCGATGACTTCATCTTCGTTCGTGACACAGCGCGAGCCATCTTCAGCATTATCACTTACAGTGGGTTGGCTGTTTCTCAACCGTTTTATTGTATCCTCGTGATTCTCAATTTGAAGCTGGGTAGATTCTTGTTTGGATTTCATCCGCTGTTTTCAAAACGTGCTAGAAATTATTCATCTAGAAAGTAACTCTCAGGATCTCAAGGATGTAAAGGAAGGATTTGAGATTTCGAAGATATGAAAAGAAAGGAGGTTGCTTTTGGTATAATCAGGAATGTAAGGATTTGTAATACGGTATCCGGCAGTGCTTTCTTCAAATATCTAGCAGTGTGACATTCTAAACAAAATTATAAACCTTACGGCTTCCCCGAAAACGTTTCTCAATTTTTCCGTTTCCGCCCCTCTAAAACCAGGTAAGATATATTTTTTTACGTGTTCTCCTCTCTACCTTCACATAACCTTCAACTTGGTGAGTTATAGAAAAGTTTTGCTGATAAAATAGTAGCACACATATTATTTTCGTTCATTTTTTTACGCTATTCAAGAGATACTTTTTTCCTCAGTTTTCTCAGGTCGGAAAGGTAGTGTTAAGAGAGGGGAAAGGGGTACGCCCATTTCTACAAATATTAAAATGTCTTGTAAATAGTACAGAATAATTATACTTGCAAACGAATGCAAGATCTTACCTTTTTATTGATGTTGTATGTATTTGTCTTTCCTCCCTTGTGCTTAAAAACAACCAGGACAATGACAACAGCAAAAAGGACCACACCAATGGCTATGGATGACACGAAAGCTTCAGACAGCCTCTTAGCACCTGTTGTGGATATAAAATACTGTAAGGAACAAACGTATATGAAACCCTACCCAATTATACGTAGACGGCCACCTCTTTATTACGGCCACTTTATTTTGTTCCGAACAAAAGCTAAGTGAGTCATTTTCCTATTTAAAGAATCCTTTTAATACAACCACCCCGATATTACGGCCAAATTTGTGGCCCGTTTGTGACCGGATCAACAGGGTTCAGCACTGTATTGTGAAGGTCCTATTATAACAGAAAAGACGCGAATTTGTTGGAGAAGGAAAGTTGTTGTTGACACAAACACCACATGGTCATGTTTTCACATCTGTTTGCAGCTCTGATGAGTTCCAAGGTGTGCATTATGTTCTTGTACAAAACCTGGTGTTTACAGGTGGCAATGTGAATTTAGTTTCGTTAAATCTGCCTTCTATAAGTAAAACGAATTTTAGTCATCACCTCTGAATTGTTCAGATTTCGTAAAATTTATCTTAGCACTTTTGTCTTTCCCATCTTATGTTGCTTTTTTGCAATCATCTTGAGTGAAAGATTCAGCTTAGGTTTCATTATACTAATAGCCAGGCAGCCAGTACTCTAAGTAGTTTTTATTATCAATATTTTCTACAGTTACTAGATTGTTGTTGTTGTTGTTGTTGTTGTTGTTGTTGTTGTTGTTGTTGTTGTTGAACTCATATCGAGCCTTTTTCTGACCCATTCTGGTCACTGATGGGAAACAATACCGGATTTATTATTATTATTATTATTATTTTCTAATCCTTATGTGACCACAAATCAACCAATAAAAGCGGCTTGAGGTGTACCTGTAACAGCTGCATCAAATCATAAACACGTCAACTTACTTGCCTTTCAATGAAAGCATTGCATCTCTCGATGAAGTCTGGGCTTTCAAAGCTGTTGCCAGACAAGAGTAATATCCAACGTGACTGTCACTTACAGAAATAATCTTCATAATTAGCTCCGAACTTTCGTTTAGATTGCTTTGAATTACTGTAGCGCTAGCGTCAGTAAATGCAATCCCATCTTTACGCCACGTGATGTTTGGACGTGGCAAGCCCCGGGCCCCGCACGTGAGCTGCACGGTGTCATCACGTGATGCCAAAATACTCTTAGGATGGAGGTAAAAAGAGGGCTCCATCATATCTAAAGAACAAAAATACGCGGTCAACTAAGTTTCGGCACACAAGTCTGTATGATAATTATAAAGGTCAATACTGAATACATCTTTTGAACCACCCAAATTAAATATACAGTGTTTGCTTTTGACCGAGGAGTACTAGCCTAGAGAGCAAATGCTCAGTTATTTTGACCATTTCTCTTGCATTGATCCCAATTGGAAGACTATAAATTATATTCTATCCAAAAACATTTTGGGAACATCAAAATATATATGCGTTGTAAACAGTGACTAAATTGGGAATGGTCTAACAAGTGAGCGTACATGTAGCTTGTTACCTTGAATTGTTGGAGTTCTTTTTGAGATCGTCACCGTCGCTTCCTTTGAGAGTGTGCTTCCAATTGAATTGCTGGCAACACATTGGTACTTCTGCAACTGTTCTGTTGTTTTAGTAAAGACAAGCACCAGCGTCCAAACACTTCCATTTTGAACCACGGTGCCATTGATAACTGACGAGCTGTTATTTAACCAACCAATGGCAGGACGTGGGAAGCCATGTGCTTCACAGGATAAGGTTACTGTGACAACGCTGTCATCAAGGTAAACATACTTTGATTGGGGGTGGTTTCTAAAAACTGGTTTCCACAGTACTGAAAATAAGCAAAATAATATTAAAACCAAGAAGTGTAAAACAATATGAAAAAAAAAAATTAATAAATAAAAGGATACGTTGAGATGAATTGAAATGTTAAAAGTATTTAAAAACGATCTTTAGCTAAAAATTCAATTATTCGTATTGTTTTGAACTAAACGAGCTTCTACGATATATATATATATATATATATATATATATACAGACGAAGGTGGCAACAGCTGTACTGCGCTACCGCTGTTTAGATTGTCATGACTTTAGCTTGAACTTGGTCCAGCTTTTAAACAATTCCAGCTATAACCACCAAATTTTATGACTTCCTTATTGTGTGTGCGTTGCTAGTTAAATTTTCCCATAACGACATGTTTGTTATATTAAGACCCATGAAAGATGGCAATTGTTTACAATTAATTATGTATTGCGTCATTGTTGTTGATAATAAGGCCAATAGAGTACGGCTTTCAGGGTGCGGTTTCTTATGGGGCGTTTTCTTCATTAAATTATACTGATAGTAAAAACCCTGTACTTTGTAAACTCATTGTACCTGTTAAACTCACACTAGATGAACTGTTCCAGCCTTCGGTGCTGTTAGCCTCGCACCAGTACTTCCCTTCGTCGTTCAGGCGAACAGAGTCAAAAGCTAGTATGGAGTGACCTTTAAATTCCTTCACAGAAAAGCTTGGCACGCGATGACCATCCNGATCTGTTCCAGCCTTCAGTGCTGTTTGCCTCGCACCAGTACTTCCCTTGGTCGTTCAGGCGAATAGAGTCAAAAGCTAGTATGGAGTGACCTTTAAATTCCTTCACAGAAAAGCTTGGCTCGCGATGACCATCCTTGAACCACGTGATGACTGGGCGGGGGATACCTGACGCGTGACAGCTCAGATTCGCTGTACTTCCCGCGGAAAAGTTTCTCTGACTTGGAAGATCGACATTGAAATATGGTGGTAATGGGTCTGCATTTAAAATACTTTCCACTGTTAATGACACTTAATTAAGATCTAATCTCGTATAAATCATCAGGACAAAACATTCAAAATGCAATTACCCAAATTTAATGACTCCAAATTAAGCAAGACGTTTTAACCTGGGGCTTTTAATTAGGGAACTTAAGCATCGACGATGAGAGGAAGACGACGACGATGACGACTAGAAGTCAGTTCATAACACTTGCAAGGAACTGAGCATGTTCGTCTCTGTCAGTTCGTCGTCGCGCAGTCATCGACGACGTACTTTATAGTGATTTGCTGTTTAGCTGAAAACGGAAGTAGTTTTACCCGTTTAATCAGCACACTAATGGCTAATACTTTGCTAATCGTTGAATTATAAGAACGCCATTATAACAACAACAGATCACGGGGTAGTGTCACGACTTACCTTTAAATTTCAATGTGAGTTTATCCTTCGTGCATCTCATGCTATTCTCTGACACGCATTCATATTTACCCGAATCGCTCTTACTGGCATTTTGAATGAAAAGCTTGCATACCAGTGATTCTCCGCTGCCATCGCAATCCTTTATATAGTCATCGTAGTTCTCGTTGTAATAGTATTGGATCGAATAAGGTTGAGCAGCCTGATGACTTCCCTCCTTTGAAGAGTTACTGGTGCAAATGATTGTTATGTCGTAGCCAATTGGAAGGACGTCCTCACCCGGAAATTCCAAAATGTTTAGCGACATGGAAGGAGCTCGAGGATCTGGTAGAGATTTTATTCTCAGTTAATCAAATTTTCGCGTTACAGCCTTGAAATAAATAGCACTTTCTTAAAATCGATACGAACTGCAAAATGGTCAGTTTCTAAAATATGGAGTCGTTATAACCTGTTTTTTGCAAATAGCTCAAGCCTTTTTTGTGCCTTCTTTACTAACCCAAGGTAAAGTCTGCATACGAGCCAAGTGGCCCATCAAGCCGGAGTCTATCCCGGTTTCTATAGCATGAAGCGACTATTAATATTTCTAATCTCCCCTTGGATGAGATGCTTGTCCATCGAAGGGTTACCCCCAGCCGTTAGTCATTTGTACACCTGGGTGGAGAGAGGCACTGTGACAAAAAAGTGTCTTACCCAAGAACACAGCACAATGTCCCCGGCCAGGGCTCGAACTCGGACCCCCCGATCCGGAGTCCGGAGTCGAGCGCACTAACCATGAGGCCACCACCATGAGACCTAAGTGACTTAGAAATACACTGGCAAAGAAACCAAACTATATTGTTACAGTACTGTGCTTGTAGATGTTTCCGTAGAATAAATCATTTTCTTAATTAGCACTTCTTCCATGAAGTCAGTTTGGATTTTTACAGTACAGCCCAAAAATAATGTACGCGCATAAACTTCTTTTTGCGTCCGCAAGCCGGCACCTTCTTGCGGCTTCTTGCGGGTCGCTTGCGCTTAGATCCTGCAAGACGCAAGAACTTCTTTGCGGTTAGAAGTTAACACTAGCCAACACTAGCACCGGACTCGTGCTGGTATACCTCTCTCAAAGCGCCCGTTACACAAAATTAAGCAAACAAAGTCAGACAACGTTTCAGTCAACATGACTTTTGGGAAGGGATTTCAGGGGATGTGCCGTACTAAAACGGATAAAAATACCGTTTTTGTTATGATGGCATGACCAGGACTGTTTTCACACTTTAAAAACGCCTTGCCTTCATTGCAAGAGCTTCCCAAATAAATGGCATTTAGTTTTGTGAAAGGAATAACAGTAAAAACAAAACCCGTATAGCACAAACATAAAAAAGGTAACTATATAAGGAAGAGTACCATACCCCTGTTTTGCTTTAGGGTTGGGGAGGAATAGAGACAAACTCAATTTTATAATTCAATTTAAACGATTTTACTTTTACTCAATGTTCTAACAAAGAATAGAAGAGCAAGAAAAGGTGGTCCCTACTTCAAGATCAGTATTTTCTAGTTCTGTATCACTCACATTCATGTAGAGATTCAACATGGACACAGTCAATTTGTGCATCAACGACGATTACATATAAAGCCATGACCAAGAGCATGACGATTCTTCGTTTCTTCCTCCTTTCCCCTAAAAAAAATAATCAACACTATATTACTGACCAACTAAACATGGTCAACTGATTGGGTACTGAATCTCCAGTACGGTATTTTGTTGTAATTATTTAAATTTTCCTTGGGTTGGTAAAAAAGGTGGCCTGTCAAGAGGCAAGACAGGGTCACATTACAACCACCCTCCAACTGCCACAAATTCCCCTCACCGGCGTACATACAAGTTGTTAATAACTTCTCTTACACTGGTTTATCATCGTTTCCTGCAGGATAATTCTCCTTGATAAATGTATTTTTAGCAACATGCAGTTCCATAAATGAATATTCTTCAACCGTCGTACCTAGACTAATTAGTAGTTTCATAATCATTCTAGCGAGTTTATGAGAACAAACTCTCGCCAATATTTAGACCAACGAGGCTAAGAACACGCAAATGTTTACACTGAGCTTTGTCCTCTGGAAAAGGAAGGGAATGGGGGTAGGGGAATTTTAAGCCCGTCCTTGGTTACACTTAGAGCACTATGGTATTGAAAATGATTATGAAGCCTGGACGATGCATAGCATGATCAAATTATGGTGATAACACATAGCGTGGAAACGACGTAATATTTCCGAACAGCAGTACTACAGTCGAACCTCCCGTAAGCGACTACCAAAAATGTCAAGCTTCGCTTACGGGAGGTGGTCGCTTTCCAGAGCTTAGACCATATTGGGTCAAAAGTTAGAGAAGAAAAGAGAAGCAAAAGTTACAGCAGGAATTTTGTCTTTTTCCATTTGAAAACCAGCCATACCTGTAAAATTTAGTGATCTGTGAAATGTCATGTCGGGAAGAAGATGCACTTGTCTTTGTCAAAATGCACGATCCACAGTCAATGATTTAAGACGATTATTCCCAAGTTTCAACTTCCTGTACTTAGTTATTTTAATAATTCAAACAGCTGCTGAACATACACATTAGGAACGTTTCTAAGACAGGAAAGAAAATAGCAAAGATTACCTCCTTTGCAGCGCTCATCATAACAAAATCTTTACTGATTTAAAAAAAATGGAGAAAAAATGCTTTGCGCGAGGATTTTCGGCAACTGGGAGACATCCCGTCTTTTTATGAATGTTGACAATTTAACGAGAACAATTTAATTAAATATTATAATTAGAAAGTTTATCTGGAAATACGGCTCTCATTTTGAAAGCTTTTATTTTTCATTAAATTTTATGTTGTAACGCTAAAACGTTTTACTTGACACTCTAGGACCTTTAGGCTCACGTTTAAAATTAAGGTGTACTTAAGTCCTCCCTCCCAACAGTTTCTTGCATCGGTACACAACGGGACATTACGCCAGACTGGGGCAAACTAAATTTGTACTTTAAAATAATAAGTGTCATGCTTTACACGATGAAAGGACTGCCTAAAATTAAGGGTGCTTGCTTTGCAATAATCATCTATTCAAAAAATTTCATACATGATCATAATAAGTTTATTGAACAACCGTAAGCAATAACGTTTCTCAACATGAAGCGAAGATTGTCGGTCGCCATCCAAACTTAAGATTTTTCTAAAAAAAAATCGAAGTTAAAGAGAAGAAAATAGAACTTGCT